ATCACCATCCCAGACTTTAGCCTCTACTACAAAGCTGTCCTCATCAAGACAGTATGGTATTGGCACAAAAACAGACACATAGACCAATGGAACAGAATTGAGAACTCAGAAGTGGACCCAAAAATATACAGCCAACTGATCTTTGACAAAGCAGGAAAGAATATCCAATGGAAAAAAGACAGCCTCTTTAACAGATGGTGTTGGGAGAATTGGACAGCAACATGCAGAAGAATGAAACTAGATCATTTTCTCACACCGTGCACAAAAATCAACTCAAAATGGATAAAGGCTTTGTTGAAATTTTAGAAGGAGATGGAGGAAGACAAGGAAGAGCAGGAGGGGGAGAGAAGAAAGGAAGGAAGGAAGTTAGTTTTCTCAGAATTCTAGAAACTAGAGCCTAAATATCCAATTTTAGAGGACTAGCTAACTGTAGAGATTTGTACTATCAACCCTAGACTTGAGAAGACAGCAGAAATAATAGAAAACTAATTTCTATGCTTGAAGGGATAAGTGCATAAGGAAAAGGGTTAGAGAGGTACAGGGTTGGAGGGATGCAGGTGAGTGTTTCTGAGTGCTGGCTATGGTCCTGCCCCTTCCCAATGTTGAAATCCCAAAAGAGTTGAGGGAGGATTTGGGTTTGAGAGTCTGAAGAAAGCCCTATTTTCCCCCAGCACCCCTAGAAGAAGGGACCCTCTCTAAGTATTCTGTGCCAACACAGTGTGACCACGTTGGAGTAGAAAATGGTGGTAGGGCTGACCTAGACAAAGAGAGGACTCCAGTGGGTCTCTGATAAGCAGGCTGGTGGGAGAGTTCACCTGGGCAAGGGGTGCAGTGACCTGCGTTAGTGGGCTGAAGGCTTAGGTCTAACATCACAAATATACCTCAGGACATCTGCCAGAGCTGAGGTGAGGCCCAAGGCTCCCAGGACCCCTGGGCACTGGTCCAGCCAAGGAAACAGACTAGCTTTATCCTTTGGCCACTAAGGAAGGGGGCCACCATCAAAGACCAAGTGGGACAAGATTGTGCAGTAGAGGCCAGCCTTGTCTCACACATCTTCAAAACCGTAATGTCATCTGAGCCCTTTAAACCCAAAATAAACCCAGAAGAATGGGAAAGGCAACCCCAAGAGATGCAAATTCTCTTCATATTTTAATATCTCTGGGATGGAGACGTGAGTTACAATCAATGGCCCTTTAGAGTTGCCCTCATTTGGCCAGTTTGCAGTCATGACATAGTTGTGGTTGTCTATCTTTATGTGAAGAACAAAAGTACCACTTTCAAAACTTGCAGAATAAATAAATGGGTATCAACAACTTGGGGAAAAAATCCCAAAGTAATAAGGAAGCATTCATTACTCTTAGAAATAAAATGGTTGTAAGGAGGGATGAGAGAAGTGGTCAATAAAACACTCCCATAATAGGACCCAAAAGTTGGAGTTGCAGATTGAGCTCCCCAGAAAGTAGAATCTGATATGAAGATAACCATGCAGAAGTTTTATTAGGGAATACCCCCTGGGATTGACACCTATGGAAGAAGCAGATTGAGTAGAGAAAGAAATTGAGCTGTGATGTAGTCACAACAAAGGACTCAGCCAAACTCATGGGAGGCTCTGAAGCTGGCTGCTACAGTAGTTCCAAGTTGGGGCAAGGGACCAGACCTTTATGTCCCTGTGTTGGTCAACTTTTAGGAGGCACATCTTGGGTGAAGTGGACTTTTTCAAATAAGGCAGTCCCCAAAGAGGACTGACAAGTAAGAACTGTGCCAGCAAGAGTCCCAGCAGCTGACGGAGTAAGAGCTTCCTTGCTAAAGGAGAATCTGGGTGGCACATCACAGCTTTCACCAAAGCATGCTGGCTCTACCTAATTGAAAATGTAGCTTAAAAAGCACCAAGCACCAATGGCTTTTGGAATTTTTATGGACTCATTTTAAGAAATGCTTTACCACCAAAGCTCTTGATGGCATAGAGGATAATACTGTGTGGAAAACAGAACATCAATGACTCTAAGTAAAAAAAAAAAAAAATGATGCCTTTGGATTATGGTGGTACATAAGATTCTGCAGGCATGAGAGACAGACCCACACCCAGAAGAAGTGTCTATTGCTGTGAGAACAGATAGCCACCAAGTGATCAGTTGGACTTCTGGAGGAGAAGCACCATATCAGGGGCTCAGCATTGACCTCTGTTGCAGGTAAGTCAGACATTTAGAGGGAGCAATAGCTGTATCAGGTTTTTAAAGTGGGGGTCCGTGCAATTAGGTCCATGTGGAACCTCTATGTCTGTACCACGGCCACTCCAGTATGGGTCCATTCAATAATTTATCATGTCATATCTGGGGAGAGCTAATGATGAAGGCTGGCTGATGCTAACTTTGGTTTGGTTGGGTACTTTGTCTATTTGTATGTTCAATTCCTGTTCTGTGGTGGATGCTTTATAATGGATACTAACATGTCATACAAAAATCTCCACACTTGATGCTCAGTCCCAGAGACTGTTTGCTTGCCTCTACCCGAGAATTTTTTTTTCCAAATCTTCCATTGTCCTTCTATACCTCTAGACAGTACATCAACTCTTTGACCATTTCCCATGAGCCCATAAATATTCTTATCTTGGGCAACTTCTATCGTCACACAAAGTGGATAGCAAGTGCACTACCTGCAGCTCTACCCATTAACAAGCTTTTCCCCTTCCACTTTCTTTCAGTGCCAATGCTGAGTGTGGTTGTGATACAGTAGCTTCATTTTCAGCTTTTATCCACATATGGAACCAACATAAATGTAAAGCAAGTAAAGGTTTCTCCTCTTCCATCAACTGGTCTTATGGAATCCCTCATTTGGCTATAAAGGTGAGTTGATAAGCTGACAGAGGGATGCAAGTGCAAGCATCATGGGTGATGGGTTAACAAACCATCCATGCAGTGTGCTCATGCCCTCTCGTCTTGCTTGGGCTCAATTCCAGATGTACCATTTCCATCTTACAGTGGATTGCTGTTCACCTCACCCAATTTATACCTTAGAAGATACAACAATTTTGTATGAGAAACTGAATTTCAATGTAAAAAATTAGAGTCGATGGTAGCTTGATTTTTCTCCTTTTTATGATTTACAATAAATATAGCATTTATAAAAGTTTCTTAGAATTTCCTTCAATTTCCTAGAAGAAGCAGAAAAAATGGAGACAGGAGATGATTTGGTTGTGAGGTAGGGATCCATAATCATGGGAATCTGGAATTTGAGGAGCCACTTCTGTGGCAAGATAGACTAGTTTCAAGCAGTGGTAGTGTTTAGGGACAGGGTTGGAGGCAGAGAAATTTCTAAAGTGAGTGGTTGAATGAGATGGGGACATCCATAAACAACGGAGTTACATATTTTGGATGCTCATATGTTTAAAGTTCCATAAGTACCTCTTGTATTAAGTACAGAAGTGATATGAAGTACATCTGAAGGTGGACACTGCCTGTATTTGGTTATGTGATAGATTAGATACAGTCACAAAACCTTGGCCATTCTTCCCAAGACAGAGTCTCCTCCCCTTGAATATAGGCAAGCTCTGTGACCTGGTTTGACCAACAGAATATGGTAGACACAGCACTGCGGTGCAACTTCCAAGATTAAACCCTAAGATCACTATGCCGTGAGGGAACCAAGCCTCTGGAGAAAGAGAAGCCATTTAGAAGAGTACAAACACACGAGAGACGTGCATGAAGCCAGACCTGATGCTGAGCCTGGCCGGATGGATGACCCCAGGTGACACCACCTGGATCAGAAAGATCACCCAGCCCATCCCTGCCTGAATTCCTAACCCACAGATTTGGGACAAAATAAATGGTTGCTTTTTACACCAACAAAGTCTTAGGGTAGTTTATTATGCAGCAACACATAACTACAGCAGGTTAGTACAGTGTTCAGTGATAGCGGGTTTAACAGAAACCATCATCTTGATGACTCTTACCCCCTTAGATAGAACAGAAATGAAGCCATCAGCAGTCTGAGTGAGAAGCAGTGGAGAGAGAATTCGGAGACAATGACTCAGTAAGTCTGTCTTTTAAAGGAAAATCATTTTCTATTTGGTTTTCCAGGGCTCTCTGTCATAAAGAAGACACTGGCTTTATTATTAGAGCATCTCACATGATTAAGCTAATGTTTCTATATTCCTCCTCCTCAACCACACCTCCTTCTCCCCACCTCCACCACCACCACTGACAACAAAACAGCCTTGCTTGAGGCTTATTCTGCAAATATGACATATATAGATAAAATCATCCAAATAAAAGAACATTTTCAATACAATGAATTTATCCCCCAAAAAACTCTTCTTGGAATTTTTCTATAGTTTTCTTGACCTTGATGAACAAGTAAATACAGCATATCCAAGGAGCATCTGTCTATTCAGCTCTGCAGACAACTCTCTAGAACTTTCCCAGGGAGTTTATTGAGCTCCTACTATGTGCCAGGCACTGTGCTAGGCATTTGGGATACATTGGAATACAAAATAGGCAAAAAAGATAAAAATCCCTGTCTTCTTGGAGCTTACATTCAACTGAGGAGACAATAAATACAATAAATATGTGAATTATATGGTATAACGGAAAGTGATAAGTTCCATTAGAAAAATAGAACATGGTGAGGTGGAGGGGAGGTGGGGAGCAGGTTTCAGTACCAAAGAGTACCACACCCATTGATGTAGATCTCATTAAGGAGATGACTTTTGTCCAAAGACTATAAGGAGGAGAGAGAATGGCCACCTGGGTATCCAGCAGAAGTGCATTCCAGGCAGAGGCAACAAGGAAGGTAAAGGTCCTGAGATGGGAAAATGCCTGTATGCCTGGTGAATTCAAGGAACAAGAATATTATTGTGCCTGGTGAGGAATGAAGGTGGGGAGAGGACAGTAGTTGGTGGGATAAGTGTCAATCATGTAGAGCCTTTGGACATTGTAAGGTTGGGCTTTACCTCTGATTGACGTGTGGGCCATTACTAGCAGAGAAATGACATATTCTGATGTGCCTTTTCAACAGGATCCCTCTGGCCTCTGTATTGAGAATAAACTTTCAGGGAACAAAGAAAGAGGGAGTCTACTGCAATAATCCAAGAAAGAGATGAGGCTCCATGCCCTGAGTATCTTATGTGTCTACTGTGGGGCTCTGTGGAGTAAATGGCACACAGAACATGGGGGAAAGAATGAGAGGAATGTAAATGGTTTTTCTTGTTCTCTTTGATGTACCTACTCTGCTCTAGTCTACAGCTAGAGGCTGAAGAGGTCCCGGCTGATCTTTTCTGGGGATTACAACAAATGGAATGGATGTAGCAAGGGAGAAAGGGAGACTGCTTCCTTCCAAGTTTGCTGGCAACTGCTCATCTCAGAGGAGTGGCTGGCCCATCCGGAGAAAGCTGATCCTGGCTTGATGTGTATTTTGGGGAATTGAGAGCTTGTGCACTCTTTGAACAGGAAATTCAGCCAGGCAGTCCATAATGGCTGAGTTTTTAAGACAGAAAATACCTCTTGTCTAGGAGCACTGGCACCCAGGTTCCTTCCAAAAGAGTTGGGGGAGGAACTTGTAGCCAAATATGCAGCAGGACATGTGGGCTGAGAGGAGTAAGGTCTCCTGGGCTTTTGATGTTCTATCTTCCTTTTACACGTGATTCATGGATAATCCCATGCCTGCCACATTCAAGGGAGGGTACAATGAATGTTGTAAAGGAAACTGGAAGGATTTAGCCCCAGAGCTGAATTCATCCAAGACACACACCAAGTACTTGGAGTGAGCTGATGACCTTGTGACTCGTCTAATTCCTCTAAACACATGATCATCCCCAAACAAATCCATTTCGTCAGAGGTTCTTCTCAGTTGTGGTTTGGTCAATCAAAACTTGCTGCAGTTTATACAGAAGTTTGGAAACCCTAAGGAAACTTGAATTTTAAAAGGTGGTCTGTTGGGGCGTCTGGGTAGCTTAGTAGGTTAAGCGTCCGACTTTCACTTGGGTCATGATCTCATGGTTCATGGGCTCGAGCCCCGCGTCGGGTTCTGTGCTGACTGCCAGCTCAGAGCCTGGAGCCTGTTTCATAGTCTGTGACTCCCTCTCTCTCTGACCCTCCCCTGCTCATGCTGTCTCTCTCTCTCTCTCCTAGAAATTTAAAAAAAAAAAACATTAAAAAAAAAAAAGGTGGTCTGTTGTATTTTCCATTGTCCCCATTCTGTATATCTGGCCTCCTTTTCTCTTTTTCCTCAGCTCAGCCCCAAGGTTCTCACTGTTTCTTTCAAATGACAAACACCTTTTGGGTACCTCATGTGTACCAAGCACAGAGATCAGCTTTATAGATTTGGAGCTAAATATCTCAGAGTTCCTAGACTTAATTGTATTTGCTGTAGAAAGTAGGGGGACTTGTACAGAATCCAGATGCACTATGAATAAGAGCTGCTACTAAGTACCCCAAAGATTGCTTAGCTTAGCCTCTGTACTAGGTCTTGGAGTTTGATATAAAGAGATAAAAGTACTCATATAGCAGGGGAAATAATAGCTAATAACTGCAGCCGGGTCCTCTGCAAAATATTTTTTTATTATTATTATTATTTTTGAGAGAGAGAGACAGAGTAGAGGAGGGGCAGAAAGAGAGGGAGACACAGAATCAGAAACAGGGTCCAGGCTCTGAGCTGTCAGCATAGAGTCCAACACGGGGCTTGAACTCATGAACTGTGAGATCATGTTCTGAGCTGAAGTCGGCCACTTTACTTGACTGAGCCACCCAAGCCCCCCCCCCAAAATATTTTTATACATATAAAGCTACTGTAAACGTGTTAATAGAAAAGATGTATAGTACCCAATTTACAAAAAGTAATAAAATATACAATACTCATTATTGCAGATTATATTAGTCAATTAATTCTCATGATTTTTGCTGAACCATTGAATCCAATATATGGTTGCAACTGATGTGAATATCGGTTGCTATTTTGTTTACGTGAATGAGGAAGGTAAAAGTGAGCTAAGAATGCATGTCAGAACTTCACTGAATGGTTGGTGACATGAGCCACTTTGCTGATTCGGGTAGTCGTTTCAAATATCAGAAGAATATTTTCTTAGGTTTTTATACTGTTCATAATATAATAGCTATAGACAGGACACATTTCAAAATTTAATACGTGTTATAAACAGTTATCTGTCATTTTCTTTTTTTTTAATAGTTATTTATTTTGGAGAGAGAGCAAGCAGGGAAGGGATAGAGAGAAGGGGACAGAGGATCCAAAGAGAGCTCTGTGCTGACAGGCCACAGCAGCAAGCCAGAGACCAATGTGGGATTCAACCTTATGACCTCATGCCTCATGACCTAGATCATGACCTGAGCCACCCAGGTATCCCTTATCTGCTATTTTCTTAAGTCTAGGTAATCAACAAAACAAGTTGCCTAAATCAAGTCCTGATTTGTAGTATTTGCTGATTTCTGTGGCTGTCATGGCCAAGGTCAAGCCACTAGCGTGGCAAATAGATGCACCGTAGCAAGTTCTCATACAGTATTTCCTGCATATGGACACGATAGACACAAATAACCTCAAGGGCATAAATAACGAAAAATGCAGCAAAATAGAAAAAATGAGCTTCGAGCATTTATTTCCTTTTTAAATATAATTTATTAAATTATAAGTTAATATAACTTTATGTTTCATAATGGCTGTGTTTAACAACTGTCTTCCAAAATTCCTGGAAACGGAACAATTGGCTCTCATCAGCCTGTCCAACCACCTCCAGCCCACAACTGATCCCAGCATCCAGTAGGAATTCCAATAATGACAGCCGGCTTTCTTTCTTCTATTAAGAAACAAAAAATAGAAATAAATTAGCTGAGGTGAGTAAAAAAATGATTGTCATGAATCCATAGAGAAAGGGCTTTCCAGAAAGCACTGGTAATGTTTGCCCCTCCTTTGAGTGCTTTCTGTGTCATTTTTCTCCCAACAGTGTCAGACCCACTTTGCTCTGTGAAGGAGAAAGGGCTCTGTGGATTGACCCACATGTGTCAGTCTCCCTCCCAAGCAGGCTGAGTGCGATGGGCTTCCCCACAGAGCAGATAATATTCCTGCTTTGTGTCCAGACAAGGGCCCTCACCCCTGCCTGACCTCACACGCTGTGTCAAGTGACATGGATAGACTGTTTCCAGTGGCTCAGCCATCTTCTTGCCCAGCAAGATCTGGAAATATTTGTGACTGTGGCACAAAGAACATTTCTCAAGCGTCAATCAGGAAAACACTCCATCCTTCTGAAATTCATGTGACAAAACCCACGGGGAGTAAGCTGCTAATATTGAAATAACAAAAGCCATATGCTCTCTGACAGCAGTTTGGGTTTTAAAATACACCTCACCATCTCTGTGAGCTGGTGCTTAATAATTCCTCTTCAGACACCTCCACCAAGCACCAATGGGCCTGCTCTCAGGATGGCAAAGAACCAAAGTGTTCCAAATGATGGTCTTAAGGGCTTTGTAAAATGTGATGCCACCTTTACTTGGAGCCCTCAGCAAGGTTTCCTTTGCCTACAGGCTCTCCAGGGGATAGGTGGGGACAGGTAAAGAGAACAGAGAGAGCTAAGAGAAAGTCATGTCCCCAAGCTGAGCAAAGTGATGGTCAAGCTAGTAATCAATTCCATTTCCTGGATGCGTGTCCAGGGACACCTGCTTTATATTCTATCTCAATGGCCACAAGAGATGGCAGAGAGCACCAGCCACTCTGGACATCTATTACTTTGTCCTACACTCTCCCTCCTTCTTGGAATCTTCCTTCCCATTTTCTAAGAATCAAGCCACACGGTTTCCATGGGAGCAGCCAGTTCTTGCAATATTATCCTGCTCCTCTAGCTACAGAGGATGGGTTCAGGGATGGATCCAGCCCAATTTAAGCTAATCAGTCTTATCTCCTAGGAAATTTTTAATTTGTGCTTTGGAAAAGGGATGGGTCTCTCTCCAGGATGCTGAATCTGCCACATGCAAAACTTTGGTCCATTTGGTGGCCATGTTCCTCAGTGTAGATTAGGTAGGAGACAAAACCAGTCATTATATGAGAGAAAAGAAAAGAAGACAGCAAAGAAAAGCAGAGGCAAGCCATGGTGAGAAATCATTTCAAGTCCATGGCTCCACTGGGATCCTGATGCCCAAATGCTCTGCTATCTCTAGGTCCATATCACTCTTATAAGCCCTTTAAAGCCCTGAATAGCTAGCTTTCCAGGTAATTCTGTGGTGGCCAGCACTGTCCTCTCATGAGTTAGTCTACCATATGACTTCCTGTTTGCTACTATGAAAAATGACTATTTATAAACTGTCATCAATGACAATAATAGCAATAGTATTTATGGAGCATTTACAAGTAGCAAAACAGTGCATTTAGAACTGTACATAATTTAGTTCATCTAATCCTTCCAACAATCCTATACGGATGGTATTATTTTTACCCCTATTTTATAGATGGGTAGCAATAGGTCTTTGGGCTTTCTATGATTAAGCATCTACACCCCATGGGTCCACACAACATCTGGGCATCTGTGTCCCTTGAGTACTCCTATTTGTCTCACTAAACATCCTGATCCTTGTTTCAAAAATATAGCTGTTATATTCATTTATTTACTTGTTTGTGTCTTGCCTTTTTGAGGAAAGAATTTGAGGAGCACCTCATAGATAGATAGATAGACAGTGCAGTGCAAAATAATAAATTTTATTGAATGCTCAATTGGGATAAAGAGAAAGTGCAAACGAGAAGATATGATGAATGCAAGAATAATAACTGTGCAGCAAAAGCCTCCAACACAGTGTAATATGGAAGGCACTTCCCACAGCGTTGTTTACAATAATACAAAGTTAGAAACAAAGCATAGGTGTCACAAGAAGAGACAGGATAAATTATGACACATCCATTTGATAAAATGTATCATAAAACCTGACTAAGGACATTAGAGAATGGTCACAATAGATTTTTTTTAGTGATAAAAGAGAAGATGAGTTGTAACATCAGTTTTGTAAAAATTTAAGGGAGATGGGAACAAATCTCAGGCCACAAATTCAAGTCTGCAAGAAGTCATCTTTTTTCAATCTACTTTCATAACTTTCAAGTGGTAGGAATGCAATCACATAACAGTAACATAGCTGGCCAGAGTTCTGGACACTATATCCTGAAAATGCAACTGTGCCATTCTAACTCGCCCCTATCTTGCCTTCTCCCCACTTCCTCTGTTGCCAATGACATACACACTTAGGCCCCTTGAGAATGCCCAAGTAGGAAAGAAAATTCATTTGAAGAGATACATGTCCATATTATCCTAGGGTACATTAATTATTAGAGAATGATTAGTCCACATTTGTCACTCTTGCTATAAATCTACAGTCTTGCTATAAATTCATGGAGGCTGAGTATACTCACTCATGCCTGGGCTAGACCATGTGACATGAACAGAGTCTTGAAATGTGTTTGCATGGCTGAGCCACTCTCTTGTGCTCTGGATCCACTATGACAAACATGCACTCTGGGTGGTTGCTGCCCCTTTGGCCTGGGTCCCTGTGGAGCCAAGGTCAACACAATCTGCAGACCGGAGCCTGGAATAGAATGCTGACCCAGCTAAGTTGTAGCCAACCCATGGAACAGTAAGCAGAGACTGAAAGATTGTTTTATGCCACTGAACTTTGGGATGGTTTGTTACACAGCACTGTAGTGGTAATAGTTCACTAATACGTGTGCACCATCTCCCTCCTCACAGTACTCCTGCTACAAGAAAACCACTGGATCCTACCCTTTGGAGAAGAAAAATGCGTAACGGAGGAGTTCATCTGATAGTTATTTGATGTAAACAGTATCCTTGTTGCCTTTCTGACTTGGTCTCTGTTAAGAATATAGCAAGGCTTCTCCATGGTATTGCTGCTTCGCATCCATTTTGTTTGGCCAAGCAGCCTGTGAGGGCGTCCAGCTGGCAGTAGCCCACTGATGCAAGCACGGGGCCTAGATAATAGCCCACAGAGTCACAAGCAAGTGTATGTTCCTGATACGACTCCCCCAACTGCCCTTATGATAAACAGTCTCCCTCGCCTCCCAGGGCCTTCCCCTCATACCATGTGCCCCTTCGATAAACCCCCCCCCATGGAGCTTACCAAAATTCTCTTTTTGGTTTGAATTGACCAATCTGGCCTTAGCCTCAGAACCCCAAAGCACTCCACCCAGGGATCCTAGTAAAGGTATGTGCCCCAGGGCCTGCTGTTCTCTCTGCACCCTGCCTTGACCTCCTGCGTGGCCCCTGGAGGCGTGCTGTGTGCTTCCTCCAGGACCTGTGAGTGATAAGCTTACTTCAGTTTCTCTTGTGGCCTGTTGTTGAACCACAGTTCACCATCCCAGACCCTGTGCTTCCCTTAACAAATGTTAATTTAACAAAGTTCCAACAGTCTCCTTTTCCAGCTCATGGGATCTGTCTGAAGTGTGTCCAGAGAGGAAACAAATGCATATGGCCCATTATGACCTCGCCACACAGAGGCAAATGCCAACTCCAACAGTTCAGGTGAACATCAAAACATTTGCTCGAAGACCCCAAACCCCAGGGTGTGTTTCCAGTGTGGAGACCTATTGTCTCTCATCTAGAGTACATTTTCCAATATCACCAAGGATTAAACAAAATCATGTGTGTGAAGCTTTGTTAAACTGTGGTCCCAGGTAGAAGTCCCAGCTGTTTCATATTTGAAGTCAGGACAGAAGGAGGGGCTGATCCATGGGCATGGGGCCAGGCTTTCAGCTGAAGAAGAAGCCAGTCAAGTCAAAGAAGCCAGTCAATGTTTAAAATGGGTCAAGGTGGGAGGGAGGAGACCCCTTTATCAAAAGTTGGAGGGCAGAGACAAATGGGGCCCAGCTTAAAATGTAGAAGCAAGGAATGGTAAGTCATCATAGGTGAATGTGAGGTGGTCTGCAAAAGTTCCAGAAAAGAGGGATTAAATCCTAGGACTGAAGTCTCCAGGTTCCTTTTGAGGATTCAGATGGCTCCCCGTCGAGGCATGCAATCTGACTAAAAAAAAAAACAAAAAACAAAAAACAAAAAACAAAACAAGCCAAGGGCCCTTCATATAAATGTTTTCTTTTCGTCCTTTCTTTGATCTCTCTTCCTCAATGGCTTTTCTGAGTAGTTGGGGGATCTCCTTCTGGACTCCTGGTATTCAAGGGATCTTCTGCCTCTTCGACCCTCCAACTCTGCTAATTATCAGTTTTGTCCAAGTCTTTAGACAGCCAGCTTCTCTCTTCTGCAAACATGGGGCTTCGCTGCATATCATAGAATGAAAGACTGCCAATGTAAAAAAGAGCATTCACTTGCGTCAGTGAAAGGGTCTAAATAAACAGTTAAAATGTATAATTTCTTCAAGTTACATTTGACCAAAACCCAGTGCCAAAATTTGGGAACCGATTTTTTTTTCCAGCAAAGATATATTGGAGAAAATTCAGAAGCTCAAGTAGTGAGGTGAAAGACCATATCTCCTATCTGGGTCTGCACCAGTTCTCCCCGACTGGTTTATACATCAAGTGAGGAATGTCCATGTGTTCACTTGATTCTGTAAAAGGATAAGCCTGGGCAACCTCAGGAAGAACAAGAAGACACACTGCTATTTTCCAACTTTTGTCAATAAGGGAAAGAGGGTTTCAGCCCAGGGAACTGACAGAATCCAGAGAGATTCTAACAGAGACAGAAGTGCCAACGGGCTGATGGGCAACAAGCTAGGAACAGTAATAAGTAATGGTGCTCCTTGAGCCATCCAGATGAACTAATATCCCTCATATCCTTTTCTTGGAGTCAGCTTTGGGGGGGTCCAAATTAAGAAGCTTTTTTTTTTTAATGTTTATTTATTTTTGAGAGACAGAGAGACAGAATATGAATGGGCAAGGGGCAGAGACAGAGAGGGAAACACCGAATCCAAAGCAGGCACCAGGCTCTGAGCTGTCGGGACAGAGCCCGACCCAGGGCTCAGACCTACAAGTCACAAGATCACAACCTGAACCAAAGTCAGATGTTTAACCAACTGAGCCACCCAGGCCTCCCTGGGGTGGGGGTGGGGGTGTCCAAATTAAGACATGAAGATTGCTCAGATTCTTTACCATGTAGAGATACTCTGTCTTTTTGATACCATCGGCTCAAATCTGGGTGTTTTAAATAACAGAAATGATTGTCTCACAGTCCAGCAATCAATCAGATTGACCAGCAAGGTTGATTCCTTCTGGGGCTATGAGGGAGAATCTGGCCCTTGCACCCCAGCTCTGGTGGTTTGCTGGCCATCTTTGGTGTTACTTGGCTTATAGATGCATCACCCTGATCTCTGCCTTCATGTCCTCCTAGTGTTTCCATGTGTGCACATCTGAGTCTGAATTTCCTTTGTACAAGAACACCAGTCATGGTGGAGTAGGAGCCAATTCCAGTGTGACCTCATCATCACTAATTACATCTTCCATGAACTTATTCCAAATAAGGTCACATTCTAAGGTACTGGGGGTAAGGACTTCAACATATGAGTTAGGAGAGGGGAATGTTTCAACTCACAACAGGTTGAAGTACGGTATAATGGTTCAGGTGTGGAAAGGAAATTGATTCGGTTTGAATTTTTAGTGCCATGTCCTTGCGCAGTGACCTTGGGCAACTGCTTAACACCTCTGAATCTTAGTCTCCTCGCCTATAAAATGGAGAGAATAACAGCGATCTCAAAGAGTTGTTGGCAGGATTAAATTCAGTGATGATTATAAGTGTGAAATAAGTGAGAATAAATCATTCTTGTTCATAGCTGGCTGCCCATCAGTCCTTTGTCCCTCTGGTAGAGTCTCTCTGGGCAGCTCGCTGGGCTGAAACCCTCTTTCCATTATTATTACAACTTAGAAATAGCAGTGTTTCTTCCTCCTCTTCTTCCTAGGGTTGCCTGGACTTTTCTTTCTTCAGCGTCAATTGATAACATTGACATTCCTCACTTGGTAGATGAGCCTGCATGGGGGAAACCAGAGTTGTGCAGCATGGGAGAATGAGTTGAGAAAGGGGAGTCTCCAATTAACAGTGTCTGAGTGGGGCGGCAGCCACCCTGGGCAACTGGAGCCCAATCCTAGGGAAGGACTCGAGGAAACAGATAAAACACAGACCTCAGAGTTATTGCTCAGAAGAATGGAGGAGCCAAGGTATTTACATGCATTAAATCCTATTAATCCTGGCTGAGAGCTACTCTGGAGGAAAGGGAGCATTAATCTCCTGATGCTACAGTGTGGGTAGACAGAGAGGTCTCCCACAGTTTCAAAGAAAGGCCTCAGGCAAGAGTTGCAGATACCGGTAGTTGAAATTCAGCCTACGGCACAATGGAGGCCCCAAGGATATGGGAGAGACACTTCTGTAGATTTTTTTCTCCTGTCCAAACCAGCATCGCAATGGGTTAGTGAACCATGTTATTGAGAAAATTAAAGTTGAGCGTGAACAGCAAATGATCCAGGACCAATATCTCAAGAGCCACCAAATTAAAATTAAGATTCCTGGAGAACACTCATTACTCATTAGCAGGAGCGCTGCTGCCGTTCATTACCTGAACAGTCCAGAGAACTCCATGTGGGATTAGGATCATTAATGTTAATAAATCTAGTGCCAAAAACCAAGTGCTAGTAAGTCCAGGATGTTGGCCCCTTACTCTCTGAAGGCAAATCTAAAGTTGCTGTTTTTTTCCTTTTTTGATTTTGAGAGAGAGAGAGCACAAGTGGGGGAGGAACAGAAAGAGAGGGAGAAGAGAATCTCAAGCAGGGTCTGCACTGTCAGCGCAGAGACTGATGCAGGGCTGAAACTCAGCAACCGTGAGATCATGACTTGAGCCGAAATCAAGAGTCGGATGCTGAACAACTGAGCCACCCAGGTGCCCTTCTGAAGGCAAATTTAGAGCTTGGCATTCTGTCTCGGTCAAAGGCCCATGGGCCAATTACAGGTAGGTGGCCATTTTTATTGTTTCCAGCATCCAGGGAAACACTCTATTCACAAAATAAACTGCTGGACTTGTGTTTGAGACCCTTTGTTCAATCCTTGCAGTGCCCTTTTTGTCTGTCCAGGGCCTGGTCAAGTTCACCACTCCCTGCCCATCAACCCTGCAGAAGCCACTTGGTCTAAACTGATGCTCAGAACACTTGTCTGCTCTGGAAGGTAACATCAAATGATGCAGGGCAGGCAGTAAGAAGCCAAAGTGGAGTTCAGCTGAGACACGCAAATCCCTCATGCCAGCCCTCCTTAAAATGCGGGTGGGCTGCGTCATGTCTGGGTCTCCTCTAAAATGTCTCTTCTGTCACTTATGTTATTGTTGCCGTATCTCTCTTCTTAATTCTCATGATTACTCAAACATCTCTGCATGTGTCTTGTCCCTGCAAAGCCATCATTAACTCCTTGAGAGCAGAGATGATTAATTCTACAGGTCTGGGCTACCCTGGAGCTTCTGCTGTCTTCTTCTTTGCCAACAGAACTCAAATTATGTTTGAGAGGCAAGGTGTCCAATTTTGGACAGTGAGACCTGAGAAAGCCCTGTTGTGAGGGCTTCTGGGAAGGCTTTTGCCTTCAATAAAAAGAGGCCAATAATGGTGATGTTGTTCCCCTTTTCCACTTTGTTTTTGTTCTGCTTTGAATGGAGATGTGATGGCTGGAGCTGAAACAACATCTTGTAACCACGAGGGAAAGTCTGAAAGAATTAGACAAATGCTGATCCTGATATTGCTGAACTCAGGGACCAACCCAATGACTGCCTACACCCAAACTTCTTCTGGTGTGAGAATAAGCCCCCATGTGTTTAAGCCACTGTAGATGAGTTGTCTATGGCTTGCAGCTTCACAATCGTCTTTACCAGAAGAAAGAGCAGAAACTGTAGGAACACAACTTCCATAACACTGTGTTCATTTCTGCTTCCCAAAACCCACAGAAGTACATCCACTTGGCAAAACTCGTGTCTTCTGTGAAATCTGAACCATAAATGACATCTGGGATTTAAGAAAATATCTGCATTTCTAGTGTGTAGATTTGCCTACTACAAAGGGGTCAGAATAGAGCTGAGTGAGCTGCTCTGCAATACCATACCGTCCATGATAAGTAGGGAAATGGGGGACCCCAAGAATGCTATTCTGAAGCCATGCTTGTTGTATCAAAGTAACACACTAGCTGTTGTCATAGGCAAACCCCCAAATCTCAATGGCTTAGCACAATAGAAGTTTATCATTTAATCCTGGGTCTTGCTAATTGTGGAAGGGGGGTGGGAGTACTCCGTATTACACAGTCATTCTGGGGTCCAGACTGTCTTCGTCAGTATTCAACTGGGAGACAGAGGAAGAAGACATGCTCATTTCTTAAAAGCCTTGACCTGGAAGAAACACATATCACTTCCATTCGTATTCCATTGTTGAGAACTCGCCATGTTGCTCCCACCTTGTAAGATACAAGGGACGTGGTCTCTTGTTTGGCAGCCACTTCCTTAAGGCACTTCTCTGGAAGGAGAGAACAAATCTTTGGTGGACCGCTAGCTCTCTGCCGCCAGCTAAACTTAACAGAATCTCTGGATGGCTTCATCCCAAACATGGTGCATCAGGGCTCAGTAAGTCTTTTGTTGATAAATGGATGAATAAACGAATCTTTGCATCTCAACTCAATTATTAAATTTA